GGCCTCTTTGCAACCCCACAAACGAAATTTGTGCAAAATTGCTTGAAAATGATAACTTTTGCTGACTCGTCTCATCATTATTTTTAGGATGATGAGTCTTAGTTAATATTTCATATTTAATTTTTATCCCTAAGGCCATAACATTTAATGCAGGCAACAATTTGCCACATTGTTATTATTGTTAAAATTATTAGGATAGTGAGTTTATTTAATAAAAGCGGCCTTGTTTGGCCAAATCACGAACACCCGATAGTTTTTGTTGCATTCTCTTTTGCTATGAACGGGAATATGCAAGTTTGTGATGCACTGGGATGGAGGAGACATAAAATATATTAAAACAAAATTAAGTACATATAGGCCTATTTAATTATATTATATAAAACATGGAAGGATCTAACTCTATACTTCTAAACCTATCAAATAAAAAACTAAATTTTGGCCTGAGATGCGTTAATAACATATTTTAGATGGTAAGGAAGCGCATTCTATGGTACAATGCTTTTTAAAGAACATATTTTGGAAAGGATTTACAGTGGGTAATCGAACTAAAACACCACCGAAGCTTGTGTTCATGCAATGCCAATTTCCTATTTGTTCAAAACCGGAAGAAATATAGTTAAAACCATTCCCTGCTAGATATTGTAGATCATGTTTGTTTTATGCTTTAAATTTGTAAAGCAATGCATGGCGGAAGCCATCCTGATTTGCGCCGCCTTTTAGCAAAAATCCTGGAGGCTCGAGTAATTTAGCAGTGATACCTGTAATGAAACATGTTTCTTATGCTATAATAGACTATCCATTTAAATTGTAATGTCAGTATGTGCACATATGATAAAGAGACACTTTTGTACTATATACAACCTGTAATCTATAGCAGTTGGAAAGTTTTTAAAATGTCTTGATTTACCTTGCGTTTGAGTCCTCGTGTTTTCTTCCAACTCAGTCAATTAACACATGGGTAAGTGAAATGTTACGCAGTATTTTTGATACCGTGGAAATGTTATCTTCATATGAGGGTCATTAGCATAATTAATATTCCAGGTGTCTGTATGTAATCAATGTCTGTATTAATTCACAAACTTCATTGCAAAATTCGTGTCAGTGATTGTCAACTTTAGTGTTTATTCTACAATTTTTAAATCTTTTCTCTCCATTTTCACCTTCATGTATATAAAAAAATTCAATAAAATGTTTTGATATTTTAGATGTCTCATTTCATATAGAAATGGGTGCTAAGCAATTTGGCAAAGAAAAGCTCGATTGAAAATTTAATATTAAAAATAGGCGTATTAGTGATTGTCACTTCATTATCCTACATTCCTAATGTCTTCTTCTTCTTCTTCTTCTTCTTCTTCTTCTCCTCCTTCTAATTGTTTCAGTATATAAGCGTATAAGTGTTATCTCAACCGCAGTGTCACCGGGACACCTAATGCAATCTCGAAGTGTGTAGTATTCATCTTACACATTGAAGATTTGAAACAATGCGGACGCATTTTTCTTAAAAACAGAGCTATGAGCATGGAATATCAAAACAACATTGTCAACATAAGGTGATTTTCACTTAATCGCTACGACGGCATTTCAGTCTCCAATCATTGGTTAACAACACGTGCATTATAAATGTATATACACTATGCTTAATAAAATAGATATAATTTTGAAGTTGAAAGAAAAAAGTATGAAAATCTAACAAATATTTATATGTTCTAAATGTTTACCACTGGGACATGGCATTTCATGCTGGGAAATCATTTCTATTTAAAATCTCTTTTTGATGAGAAGTGTGACACTCGGAAACGTGAAAAAAGTATGTTCTGATGATGTATTTTAGATTCACTCAGCCACAAATGTCGGGGATGTAGCTCAGAGGTAGAGCGCACGCTTCGCATGTGTGAGGCCCCGGGTTCAAACCCCGGCATTTCCAATACCCGTATGATCGTGGCAGGAAATATTTTGCGTACTGTTCAAATTCATCACAAGTACTCGTGAAAATGTTGTTAACGCCCATAATTGGGCACAATAGCGTAGCTAAGTCGAAGGTTAATTCACAATTAATACCAATATGGACGGAGGGAAGGGGGGTCCATCTACCTAACATTTTATGAGGGTCACGGATGCTCTACCACCTAGCAGTAAGTGAATAACAACATCTACTCACATCAGTATGTTGAAGGCCTTCGTCCAGGTTGGAAAAACCTCTTTAAGTTCAAAAGTATGAGGTCTTTATTTAAAACATGACAACTGCTTTTTATATTTTCTTCTGTATCTGATCATTATTGACGGCACGCATATCAAATTCATCATTTGCGTAAATCTGCTGAAAAATAATATTACTTTTTATTTTATATCATATATGAAAGACAAATGGCGCAGTATTTCGCGTCTATGTGTACACGTTGCTTGCTACAAAGTCAACAAGTAAATTGTTTCACATCAACCATCATTCAGGAAATGAGAAGTGTCATTTCAGTTGCTATATTGAACCCTGGCTGGTAATAATCATCTACGTGTATTGCAGAGAAGGGCAATCAACCCTGTAACTGTGTCTGAACACGGTGATAAACACTACTGATGTCATGGCCACATACAACGTGAGAAAACATGAGACAAGTGCCAGGTGTGATTACACTTGGACCGGTAATATGCGGATACTGTATTAAACTTGGCGCTTACGTCGTGACTTTAGGGTTATCAGAGGACAGTAGATGCGCAGTGTTATTAAGTTAACTATCCCAAGTGCCAAGACAGCTAGTTTTAAGGGAGTGAGAGAGGGATTGCAATTACGTTGTACTCCTATCCGTTTTATCTGTTCCTGTATTAATAGCTACTTGATCATGAAATGTAACATTTGGCGTTTGAATTGGTTACCGACGGACTCATCTGCCAGCGTGAATCTCAGTGGCCACCACACGTTGCTACCTAATTTCATTATATTGGCTAACACGACTGATATGCTTTGGTAAAATACCAGCAGTGGCGGATTAAGGGTGGGGATCAGGCGGTTCCTGCCCCACCCCCCATTCATTTCATTTCCGAAAAAAATCATACCAATTGTCCCCAATGTCCCCCTTTATCTCTCTCTCTCTCTCTCTCTCTCTCTCTCTCTCTCTCTCGATGGACGGAGGAGGAGAGCGACTTGTTGTTGGTGTTGTCCTTGCGCTGAGTGACTGAGAGATAAAGTCGTTAGCGGAATGTCATGGTCTCACAGTGACCTCCAGTATCAGAAATGAGTCAGCAGACTTTGGCATAACAGGTCAAAAGAGGTCGCTGGCAGCGTGTGTGTTAAAACCCACGGCGTGCCCCTACAGCGCCATACTTCACCTTGCCTTAGGAGGTAGAAGCAGAGTTTTAGACACCATGCTGTTTGTCCTAGCGATTATTTCGATCTACGCGTCTGCTGCTTTGGCAGGTAAGTGGAGAGAATTTTAGGCGATTTTACATCCATTAAAGTTAACTTCATTTCCAAATTGGTATCAAATACTGACATGTGACTCGTCGTAAGTAACATATTGCAGGCTGGTGTCAGGTTCTCTTCTGATTTTACTTGTTTTTCGGGGTGAAGGACACATCAAAAGCAATAAGTAATGACTAGTTCCATGTTTTGACAAAATGTCGATGGCATTAAGTATGCCCTATAGGTCTAAACAATATGTAGCTTATGTTACACTTACGAATAACTTGTTTTTAATTTAGGATTGTACCAACAAAATATTTCATTACTGGAAAAACTACAATTTATGTAAACTGATGGTCTTACGTTGAAGCTGCATTGCATGCAGTGGCCACTAAGATACGTGATGCACAGTTCATATAAATTGAAATTATTAAGCAGAATAGGTGCACATATTTTTACATTTGATTGTTTTTTCATCCCCAAAGCGCATATATGCCTACACATAGCACTCCTTAACGAAATTTATCAACACATACGTCTTAGAAACCTACATAGTCTGTTGAAATTCAGTATATATATATATATATATAATGGGATTGATAACAAATTTAAGCATAAAATTACTGAAATAAGTATGAATGTACCATGAACCGATTTCAAGTTCTAAAACATAATGCAATCACAACCGATCTCCTACTTAAAGGGGTCAATTGATACCATGTTTATTAAAATCTTCCGTGCAAATTGTCACCTGTTGATGGACCAGCATTTCTCTTTTTATTTTTATTTTTTTAATTTCACTTTTTTTCACCTAGACAGCGCGTGCCATAGTTACAAAGCTGGCTCCACCTGTCAGACCGACAGCCTGTACTGTAGCGGAAGTTACGTCAGTGGAAAGTGTTTGGGGGCTACCAACAGGAGGTGCTGCGTGCCCGGATCTGGTATGTAATACTAAAGATACTGATAGACAGATGTTTTTAACATACGGAACGTTATTGTTACGCGCGTCTTGTCATAAATAGTTCCATCATGTTCATCTATGAATTATCTCAATGATTTTACTTATTTCTTCATTCATCAGTTATACCTATATAAAACCACTGTAATTATTATCAATGTTTCTTTTTTATCAGTTAGCTGTTTACAATGACTGTAATCACTATTAATGTTATTATTGGATTTGTTATCAACTTCCTAGGTGACAGTGCATGCACCAGCCAGGGGGGCACTTGCAAGTACGACTCCAACTCGTGCAGTGGTTCTTATAAGTCCGGGCTGTGTGCTGGACCAACCGCCAGACGCTGCTGCGTTTCAGGTAAATTTACCTACCTTTCTGTTTATATTCGTTTGTTATATGAGTCAGAAAAATTGTAAGACTAAAAATTGCAAGAGTATTTTTTAAAAGTTTTAATTTGGAATATAACTGATTGGTATTAGAACCGACGGTATAAAAAAATGCGTATTCGTTGTTTGACTTCAGTTTTCTACATAAACTTTAGAACTGTGCGATGACGATGTGCTCTTATCTTATCATGGCCTGTTGGGTCCATCTGTTAATATTATTTTATTCCAATTCGTTACAAACATTCGTTTATAGACATAGCCGAAGATAGAACAAGAAATGTACGTGTATAAGTCGTGACTGAAGTTTAGACATTTTTTTTATCATTGCCTTGAATTAACTTTTAATACTTTTTTTCAGAAATCTGTAATAAAAGTAGAATACTCACATTTTGGGCCAACATATTGTATAGAAATATGAACCTGTTTAACTCCTGTACCATTACTTAACATCATTGTTTGACAGGAAGCGGAAGCGGCTGGGTTGACAACAATGGATACAAGGTGTCAGATGCTGATGTCAACAGCAAGCTTCAGAAAATTGCCAACTTGTACGGAAAAAGAGTCTGGTTGACAAGTGGCGATCGCCCATATCAATCCAATACTGCATCTCATGTAAGCTACAACGCTGTCACCTTGCACTGACATAACGTTCAAATTCAGTTGAACGGGCTGTTATGAGTACACGAGCATGTGATTATTAATATTTGCTGCATATGAGCAATTTCATTAGCTGTGATAATCACCTAAGTTATTTCAATTTATATTGCTGCCATTTGCACTAAATAATATTTGAGAATTATTTTAATCCAGATTATTATTATTATTATTTCAGCATTATGTTAAACGAGCTGCTGACTTCTGGATCGACGGAGAGAGTTCTGGTCAGGCTATCTGGAGCAGGCTGAAGTCAAGCGGCATTCTGGCCAGAGACTACCAGGTGATCTGGCACGGCTCCCGCACCTGTACTGGAGGAGAACACATCCACATAGGTCGTTATGGGGACAACAGGAGCACGTGCTGGGTTATAGAGGGTACCTCGTCCGCCAACTACTGCCAGTACCATTGTCAGTGATGCCCAAGGACAGCGATGGCCAAGTTGTAAAGGAGGTGATGGAGATGCTGATGGATTTTGAATGGCCTATATTGTGAATTCAATGATATTGGAAAATAAAAAAGAATGTAATGAAGATGTTTGTTTTTTTATCCAATTTATTTATTTTTATCCAATTTATTTATTTTTTGAAATTTGCTTAGTTATATTTTGTTCAGATTTCTTCTTTTTCATCTTGTTATTATTATTGTTTGATTTGCTATATTTTCCAATTTTTAAATATTATTAAATAATGTTTGGTTATAAAATTGTATCAAAATATGATGGACACTGTCGCGTATTCCAGTATTTCAGAGATGATCATGACCTCCATACCATGAAGAGAATTGTTGAAGTAGGCAATCTTTATGACTAGCTTATAAAAAAATAAAACCAAAATGAAAAATAAAAACGATACAAACAGATGAGTTCGCCAACATCATTGAACAACTGTATTCTTTTCAACTTTTTTGGGGGTTAGAGGGTGAATTAAATATCGTAATATTGATATAATCAGCAAATTGGCAGAGTTGCATCAGGGCCGTGATCATGATGTTGAATTGGGGCCTCGGTCAAGGTTGGGTCACGACACTTTTTTAAACAGAAAATCCGTATACACAGTTACAATTTGCAATGGTGGTTGTTATATTCTAGCAGCAGTTATGGACCTACAAACAGTACACACACAGACCGACATATCATACACAGGTGTGGTCTACATCATAATAACAATAACACAATCACACCAAACACTACCAAGGAACTGTTTTCACATCATATGCCCATGCACAACGAGGCAAGAGATGAAATTACACATTCAAACGACACATCTTCAAAGACGGTATTGTAATACTGCTGTCCTTAAAGCAGACCTTTACGTCTTAAACTCGCTTTAAATGTATTTAAGAGTCCTATGTAATGTAAGATTTTACACCTGATAAGTATGTGTGGTCTTGTTTAAGAGCGTATATCTGAGAGATGTGCGTGATTCATGATAGGTACTCGGTATATCGATACATTTGCCAATAGACGGAGCATTAATTTCATGATATTCAAAGTAAAACTAATCTAACAGGCGGATGAGGTATCTGATTTAACGTTTAATAGTAAACTAGCTTGACTGGCAACGAATGGCAGATAAAACATGCGGTCAGTTAAAACTGGGAATACATTGTCACAAAACGGAATGACAAGATAATGATGATATCTTCATAATAAAACAGGACAGTCACGCCAGAATAGAATAATAACATTTTTTCCATTGTCAAGGTCAGTCAATAGATGGTTTGATGTTTGATAAAACTGATTCCAAAAATAAGTTGAAAGTTCAAAGGATCAAATACTTGCCAGCACGCAAAAAAAAAAAAAAAAAAAAAAAAAAAAAAAAAAAAAAAAAAAAAAAAAAAAAAAAAAAAAAAAAAAAAAAAAAAAAAAAAAAAAAAAAAAAAAAAAAAAAAAAAAAAAAAAAAAAAAAAAAAAAAAAAAAAAAAAAAAAAAAAAAAAAAAAAAAAAAAAAAAAAAAAAAAAAAAAAAAAAAAAAAAAAAAAAAAAAAAAAAAAAAAAAAAAAAAAAAAAAAAAAAAAAAAAAAAAAAAAAAAAAAAAAAAAAAAAAAAAAAAAAAAAAAAAAAAAAAAAAAAAAAAAAAAAAAAAAAAAAAAAAAAAAAAAAAAAAAAAAAAAAAAAAAAAAAAAAAAAAAAAAAAAAAAAAAAAAAAAAAAAAAAAAAAAAAAAAAAAAAAAAAAAAAAAAAAAAAAAAAAAAAAAAAAAAAAAAAAAAAAAAAAAAAAAAAAAAAAAAAAAAAAAAAAAAAAAAAAAAAAAAAAAAAAAAAAAAAAAAAAAAAAAAAAAAAAAAAAAAAAAAAAAAAAAAAAAAAAAAAAAAAAAAAAAAAAAAAAAAAAAAAAAAAAAAAAAAAAAAAAAAAAAAAAAAAAAAAAAAAAAAAAAAAAAAAAAAAAAAAAAAAAAAAAAAAAAAAAAAAAAAAAAAAAAAAAAAAAAAAAAAAAAAAAAAAAAAAAAAAAAAAAAAAAAAAAAAAAAAAAAAAAAAAAAAAAAAAAAAAAAAAAAAAAAAAAAAAAAAAAAAAAAAAAAAAAAAAAAAAAAAAAAAAACACGTTTAATAACTCAATAGACAACAAGTATCAATGTGAAATCCACTGCATTCTTTTTATTTCTGAATAACATCACACATATCCAAAAGTTTGTATTAAAAATGCTGGGAATTATACAAAACCGTTCTTTTTTGTCATTGTCATCTGCCTTTACTGACAGCTGACGTCTTTGATGTCTTGGGCCTTGGGCATCACTGACAATCATACTCGCACTTATTGCTGGACGAGGTTCCCTCTATGACCCAGCACGTGCTCCTGTTGTCCCCATAACGACCTATGTGGATGTGCTGGCCTCCAGTACATGTGCGAGTACCGTGCCAGATTACCTGGTAGTCCCTGGCCAGGATGCCGCTTGATTTCAGTCTGTTCCAGATAGCCCGCCCAGAACTCTCTCCGTCGATCCAGAAGTCAGCAGCTCGGCTTACATAATGCTGGAGCACGAAATAATAAAATAGTGATACAGATAATAATAGCTTATATTTTGAGAATGAAATTAATTTCAAATGTTCGTTTTGCATAATTTTTGTACAAATAAGGGAGATTAAAAAATTATGAAGAATTTAATAAATAAGATCACTTTGTGGCTGTTATTCAGTGGAAAAAGAATATTTGAATAAAATGTTTGCCCTTCTCAGCAACAGGAAAAATGTCCATTTCTCTCAATATAAAATTTAAATGAAATTAATTTTTGAGATCAAACATGTACAATGTATATGTTCCTTTTTCTCGTAAAACCCACAGCGACTTACAGGTATATATTAAACTGATATCGGTGCGAAATGGAAGTGTGGTAGCTTACATGTGACTTGGTGTTGGATTGTCTTGGTCGGTCGCCACTGAATAAATAGACTCGCTTGCCATACAAGTTGGCTATTTCCTGAAGCTTGCTTCTGACATCAGCATCAGACACAGTGTAACCTCTGTAGTCAACAGTCCCTCTACCACCTCCTGTCAAACAATTATAACAATCAATATTGCAGACGTTGAACAACTGTTTATTACAAAAGATGTTGCGCCCATATTTAAACTGACTAAATACATGTACTTCCCATTTGTAGACAAAAACTAGTGATGCGGCGTAAACAGCCAACAAACACAGTAACGGCTTATAACATTGGTATTATACTTATCTCTTTAAATTACGAAACAGAATTAACTATGTTTTTATTAAACAATACATTTTAGATGTGAAAAAGAAATGGCACAATCAACCGTTACAGGTACGAATACATTATTTCTGATTTAAAGAAAATTTAGCGTCCTATATATCACTGGGCATCGTATATTTTGAACATAATGGCGATTATATATCCTACAGCTGTACATGGTTCAGTAGGTTAATTTACAGATAATCCAATAAATTACACCTATCTATTAATCAATCGTTAATTTAAATGATGCATTACTTATTATGACAGCCAGATCCGTGTTCTGATTTACTGTTTATGGGAAACCAACTGTATAGGTAATTTAGAGATAATAGGCTGTTGGAAGTGGTAATCCAGAGTAACAAGGTGGGATGGCAGCCTTACAATGAAAACAGGACATCCTCCACAGAAAAGAGTAAAAGCACATTTATAGGCCTACCCTTTTTCTATGAATTACCAAGGCCGAACAAGGCAAAATTTTATGTTTTGCCTATTAAAGCAATGTTCATTAATCAGCATGGTGGAGATGTTTATAGCATTAGATAAGTGCATGTTGACGTGAACAATAATAATCTTTTACTCTGTAGGTTTGAGTATGAGTAGTTTTAATTCCACCGCACGCACTGCGTGTCTGATCTCCCACATCTTAACATAAGAATAATTTACCAACATATCCTTTCTTGATTTATTTACGACCAATGCATAGTCGGGGGTAGGTGTTGCTGCAATTTACCTGTAGATGATGAGGATGAAGGAAGGCAACAACGTCTGGCGGATGGTCCAGCACACAGCCCGGACCTATAAGAACCACTGCATGAGTTGGAGTCGTACTTACAGGTGCCCCTCTGTCTGGTGCAGCGTCTGTCACCTGGAAAGTAAAACAAGAAGAGTGATCGAAAATAATTCAAACAAGCAAAGCTCCGTAATAATAAAAATAGGAAGAAGACATAAATTGATAAACAGATATAGATTAAAATTAAGAAACAAGTACACAGAGTACAGATGAAAGTACATGTAGTAATACTAAAAAGATGATGTCTTCAATTCACCTTAATAGCAAAATGTAAAAAAATACACGTTTTGTTATTATATTTGTACAACGTACCAGATCCGGGTAGGCAACATCTCCTATTGGCACCGCCGTAGCACTTTCCACTGACGTATCTACCACTACAGAATAGGTCATCATTCTGACATGTGGCACCGCGTCTGTAACTATGGCATCTGCTGTCTGCGTGAGAAAGTTAGGTAAGACTGACCATTAAAATTAAGATTAAATATAGATTATGTGGCACCGCGTCTGTAACTATGGCATCTGCTGTCTGCGTGAGAAAGTAAGGTAAGACTGACCATTAAAGGCAGCGTCTCGGTTTGCGCAATCAAACTCTCCTTTTGGTTGTTACCGATTTCCAAAATATCCTTCTCTAAACTTTGCTTCTAACTAAACGTCACCTAATCTTTAGGGATCCTGAATACCAGAACATAAACACTAAAACCCACGGTTGAAAAGAATATCATCTCACGAATGTTTTGCGTGTCTGATTTAGCAGGACATAATGTAGAATCTATACACTGTGACCTAACTTCAGGATATCCTGTTGAAAGGTGACTGATATGACACATTTGGTACTTACACGACTGAATAACAAACCTGTATTAAAATGATAATATTTTTCATGCCCTGGGAATCTAGCGAAGCCATTTGTGTTTCTTTAGCGCATTTTATTTGTAGTTTAATATTCTAAGGTTAAGAAAAATAAATCAGAAAATATCTGCACGCATGTTTATAATACTTTTGAGAGAACGCATCTGATCGAAAAGTAAAACTTCTGGTTCATAAAGCTTCATCTGTTTTCTTTATTCTGACGGCAATTGAATGGATGAAACATACTCTTACTTTAATACTAAAACTTACATGCACGACAACTTGATTACCAATAAGTAATGAGTTTGATAATGAACTGAAAATAATATTACAGCCATGAACTAGCCAAAGTTTCTTCACTGACCTGCCAAAACTGCAGAAGCGTAGAGCGAAATAATCGCCAGAACAAACAGCATGGTGAATGAAGTCATGTTCCTACCGCCTAATACAAGGTGTAGAGTAACGCTGTGATGGCACACCGCAGGCTTTAAATGCACGACACCCAGCAGGTTTTTTGGCAATTACGTCAAAAGCCGCTGACTCATTTATTGTTTTCTTCCTTGAGACCACAATATCCTGTTGCTCAGGTCCTGGACCTAAAGCATTTTGTCCATGCTCTGCTTGTTTCTCCCCCCTCCTCTCTCTCTCTCTCTCTCTCTCTCTCTCTCGTACACTTTTACATGCCCAGACATACTGTACACATACACGGTTCATGGTATAGAGAGGCAGAGATTGTATTTTTGAGAAAAAAAAAGCTATCGGATGGACAAAAGAATTAAACTGCATATTCAATTAGGCGATGAAAAGCATGTTGTGTATTACAGCATATATATGCTATCCATGGCCGTCCAATATGTAACAGGATGTCAGAGTAATTAGTAAACAGGACACGGACTGTTACTATTACATAGGCTTTCCATGTAAACAAGTTAAAATGTCAAATGCGATTAGTCTTGTTTTTATTCTGCATCCTGCTGGCAAAAATGAGTAATGAAGGGTTAAAAATGCCTTCTCAATTAGGTTGCTTGAAAAAAGTACGCAATACGCGTAGAATAATGCATTGTCAACTATTTTGAGCAAAGATAAATCACTACAATAAAAAGATATATGCTGGGGTTAAATGGGTAAAAGCTACGGTTAAGCCCCACACTTGAAGACAATTATCAACTTACTAATGTTTTGACATTGCAACAGGATGTAATGTTATAAAACCTTCACGATTTGACCTGTCTTCAGGACATCCTGTTGAAAGGTGAATGATATACCACATTGGGGATTTAAGCAGTTGAATAACAAACCTGTATTAAAAGGATAAGATATTTCAAACCCTGGGATGTCACAGCTTGCATGTGTGTAGATATTTTTCTTTGACACACGCAATGTGTTGGTTAAGCTGTTATGGTTAAGCATAATAATTAAGTCTCTCCACTAACCTGCTTCGGCAGTGGATGCACAGTGCGAAATTTAATCGCTAGTACAAACAGCTTGGTGTCCTTAGTTCTGCGTCAACCGCCTAACGCAAGGTGAAGTATGGTCATGTAATGGAATGGCACAGCGCTTTTTCACCAGTAGCGTCTGATGACGATGTTTTTCCTTGAGACCATAATTCTCCCCCTCTCTCTCTTTCTCTCCTGCACGTACGCACGCACACACAAACACAACACACAGTTAATGGTGAAGAGGGGAAGTGTGTGTGTATGTAAGAAAGATGTTTTTGAATAAAAATCAGATGGACAAAAAAATTGACCACATGATTTATTAGTCGTTTTTAAACATATTTTTGTTATTTCAGTATATACTGTACACGTGTATAAACAACTGTAACCATCCCACGTCTAACAGGATGTCAAAACAGGACAAGGAATACATGATTATAACATCTGCTTTCCACTTAAAACGTTATGAGATAACGACAAGATGCGATTAATGTAAATTGTACTCCGTTATTACCCATGCACAATGTTTTGCCTGCCACCTGTTACTAAATATGTGTAATGTATGGTAAAAAGGGCCACTTCGTTTAGGTTGTGCATGAAAACTGTACACTTAACGTGCCGAATGGTGTATTAGATTGTCATCAGTTTTGTTGTTAGGAAGAGGTTTGTAGCATATCTTAAAAAAAAACAATTGTAAAGAAACCGATGATGAGGAGATCGCAAGCGGGAGGGGTCTCCTAGGTTTTGGACCACAGCTTTGGAGATCGCTCCTTCCTACTTGTTCACACATTCTGGAATGTTTGTATTGTGAGAACTGTTACACTTGCCAAAGAACACGTACTGTTGCTGTACACATAAAGAGGCGCTGTACGTTTGAGAAGTAGTGTAAATTTAGGTTTCCTTCTTCAGAGTCACGTCTGGAAAACACTGCACCTGTAAGTGTATGAAGTAGATATACCCAATGTATTTATTACACGTTTGCTTTAACGGCAAATATATCGAACAGTTTTTACAATGGTTCATTCATTGATTTCGTCTGTGCATTATATTAAGGAGTTTAACGCAAATGCATAGCCACAGAAAATCAAACACCTATATAAACGGGAAGACAGAGATACGAAACCATAAAATGAAGTGTGGAAAAGAGAAAACACAATCAAACGTAAGAAGGCAGCGTATCAAACCACTGCGGTAACCGATGCCTACATGATACCTACACAGCTTCGAGGACGTTTGACGTCCTACACTATACACATATGCTACCCTTAGTGTCAGGACACAGTAAAGCTAGCTTGTTAAGAGTCTGTTAACTATTCATATCGCTTTACTGACCCTGAAGAACAGCGACAATTTTCGGTATCCGTCAACCAAAGTTTTGCCAAACACGCCCGCCTTTTGACGGTAGTGGTTAGAGTCAGTTTTGCTGATATGGGTTATATAAGAAATCAAGATCGAGCTGGGAAAACTGAAATCTAGAACCTAGAGTAACATATGCATGTACGGGACGTTTTTACGTTTAATACGTGTGTAAAACTTGATGACGTGTATTTAACTGGCAGATTCTTCTGACTGTTCTTGACAATTAAAATCACACTTATAACAGACGGATCTCTGACTGAATTATTTTTCTGTAGAAAACCAGCCCCATCGGTTATTGATATGCCAGGTGAATGTTCAAATCCAGATCAATAATTTGGCTAGGTAAAATGATGATATTTTTTATAATGAAAACAAATTGTGTTTCGATCACGCTAAGATCGCACACTCTACATACTGCTGCACATACACCGTGTCTTACCTGTCATAACTTTAAGCCAGACTATAGAGGAAGCGTTCTTAAGGAAGACAACAGCGTCTTGGACCGGGACCCGCACACAGCCCAGTAGAATACGAACCATTGCAAGGGGCGGTGTTGTACTTACAGGTGCCACCCTGACCGATGCATGCATTGTCACCTAGTGTAATTAATTAATTAATTAATTAATTAATTAATTAATTAATTAATTAATTAACAAACAAACAACGGTGATAATAAACACTCCAACGGAGGTAAAGGAAAAATCAATATTAAAATGAACTCGATTATAATAAGGCACATTTGCGGTACTTTCAAAATATTTAAAGGTCATTTCGTTCAATATCTTTAATACAACATACCAGCTCCCGGAACACAACACCTCCTGTTGGCAGCCCCAAAACACAAACCACTGACGTAACTTCCGCTACAGAACAGATTGTCCAGTTGACAGGTGGCGCCAGCTTGGTTAGTTATGCATGCGATATCTGCGTGAAAAAATGGCAGATTATACCAACCGTTGATTTCAGTTTGTAAGAAATAAAGTACTTCAACTCATCTATATTTGATAAATGTCAGTATGTCATATTTAGAATTTGGTATCGGTCCAGTTTTATATTAATCTCATTTATATTCTTGATAATTCTGAAGTACGGGATGAACACCATACAGATAAATGGTGTAATTCTATAATCATGACATAATATTCAACGTAGTAACAAATATTATGAAACGCTTACAACTTCAGCAGGATATCTGGAGGCCTAAAGGCATATTTTAACTTAAAAGATGACTGATACTGTGTAGGGAAGTTGACAAGCAAATACGATATATGTATACAGCCGTAAAAATAAAGTGTCTCCAGCAATGAGGTATTGCGTTAATATACATTTTGACAATTCCTCGCCAATCACGATATGTGTTGCAGTTCTTTTTTAAAAATGAACTTATGTTTTAGCACTTTAGAGGAAAACGACAAAAATATATAAACAATATAAAATAGTTTAACGAAATGAATACCCGATCATAAAACAATTAATACTTAGCGTCCATTATAAATCGAATTTTGATAAATCCTCAACTAAAAACAAAATAGATATGAGTATAATATAAGCTACATATTGCTTTACATATTATGCGTTTACACTTATGCCATTGAGATTGGCATCACCATTTGTCAGATCCAGCAATTAAGCACACCAGGTCGCTTTTGATCTGGTTTTTATCAATGAAGACAAGTTTAATCAGAATATAATCTGGGAGCACCCTGAAATATGGTACTTACGACAAATGAAAACCACGTCTACTCTCATTGATGTAAAATCGACTCAAATTCTCTCCGTTTGCCTGATAAAGCAGCAGACGCTGTAAGCTAAGATCAAAATAATCGCTAAAACAAATAACAAACTTTACCTGGGGAAGGAGAAGGAATGCAACACCGTCTGGCAGTTGGACCAGCACACAGTCCAGACGTGTAAAAACCACTGCAAGGTTCTGTGTCGAATTTACAGGTGCCTCCCTCACTGGTGCAGGCATCGTCACCTAGGGAGTTTGGGTACAATATCGACATTAATAATAATAATAATAATAAGTATAAATGTATAAACACAAAGATTGAGTTAATGGAAATAGCAATGTTATTATTTACCCAGTTGTAACGATAATTGCAATGTACCGTACATTTTATTTAATCATTTATTTTCATATCTTCAGTAGAACACACCTGCTCCTGGAACGCAGCATCTCCTGTTTGTAGCCCCAACACAATTTCCATTGAGATAACTTCCGCTACAGAACAAACTGTCGACCTGACAGGTGGAGCCAGCTTGGAAATTATTGCACGCAATATCTGCATGAGAAAAAATGACAGGCTAGCCCAACAAAATAATATCAATCGACTCCTTTGTGTTTTTTCGATAGTCAGTGTGCCATATTTAGAACTGCTTTGTACACTGCAGCGTTATTCTTGATAATTCTTAATGACCCGATGCATACTAGAATTGGTGTAAACCTATGACACAATATAACATTCAACTAATGCACATATCAACAAAATCTCTGCGGGTCTAAAATCCTGTTGAAGATGACTGATACTGTATTAATAATTTGATAAGTAGATAAAATGCCCGCCCTTAACTAATAAGGTGTATACCATTAACGTCTAAATTTTCAGATTTTTTAAATGATAATTAATGAGACACGTGTATTTTGAAAAAAAAAATAATAATAAATAATAACGAATTACCTGGGTAAGGGGACGAATTGCAACAGCGTCTGGGAGTTGGACCAGCACACAGCCCTGTGGTGTAAAAACCACTGCAAGGGGCGGAGTCATACTTACAGGTGCCCTCCTGACTTATACAGGCACTGTCACCTGGGAAGTTTGAGTAGATTATGGAAATTGAGACCGAAATTTGTAAATACATCGAAATATTAAGTAACAGTAATAATAAACATGATGATGATGATGATAAAAATAATTATTTTTCAAGGAAATAAACTCATGCAGGTAATGAATACACTAATATTTTAAAAACAATGTAATTATAACACTAACTGCAATTAACCATACTTTCAAAATATTTACAAAGGGTTTCCTACAGTATATTTAATATAACATACCAGCTCCTGGAACGCAACAGTCCCTGTTGGCAGCCCCAAAACACAAACCACTGACGTAACTTCCGCTACAGAACAGATTGTCCAGCTGACAGGTGGAGCCAGCTTGGCTACTAGTGCACGCGATATCTGCCCGAAAAAATGATAGTTTAATCCAACCACTGATATCAATTTGTATACATGTGTAAAATGAATTAACTTATCAGCTCAGGTAGAGTTTCCCGTACCGTACGTAATTGCTGCAATTTGCACTCTACTTGCTTCCGACGCACTGATTCCATTTCTTGCTGACAGTGGAATCAGAATTCGTATTTTTCTAAAACTAGGTTGATTTTGGACTCCTTGTACTGTGTGCATTATGTTAAACCAACGTCTACATTATGTTTGTCTGATATACTAGTAGAAAGTGATCAAAGTGTAATATGCTATAAATACCTAGCGCCTCCGGCCCAACAGACGTTTCTGGCTCATATAACAACCAAAATAATGGAAAATTTGCTAAGAAATTACCTGGAGAAGGGGAAGGAATGCAACAGCGTCTGGCAGTTGGACCAGCACACAGTCCAGTCGTGTAAAAACCACTGCAAGGTTCTGTGTCGTACTTACAGGTGCCTCCCTCACTGGTGCAGGAATTGTCACCTAGGAGGTTTGGGTACAATATCGATATTTATAATAATAATAATAATAATAATAATAATGGATGAATGAATGAATAAACAAAAAGATGGAGTTAATGGAAATACCAATTGTACTTTACTGTATTTTCAAATTATTTTAAAATCATTTCCTTCGGTGTATTCAGTACAACATACCAGCCCCTGGAACACAACACTTCCTGTTGGCAGCCCCAAAACACAGACCACTGACGTAACTTCCGCTACAGAATAGATTGTCCAGTTGACAGGTGGCGCCAGCTTGGCTACTAGTGCACGCGATATCTGTGTCTGCGTGAAAAAACTTACGGGTTATCATGAATCCAACCAGGGATGTTAGTTCACAAGGTGTAATATTCATTGATTCATCTGTCGTATTGTCTATTGTCGGTGTGTCATATTTGGATTTTGGTACTGGTGTAATGTTAATGGTCTGATGGTCTAATTCAGTTTTATTCTTGATAGTTTTGATGCACACGTCAGATGAACATATCCACAGAGAGAGCTTTAAATTTAAATAATTTTTTGCAGTAATAAACCATCTATAAATGCCTGTCTCAGATACCTTACTGCTGAAAATCGACAAAGAAGAACCTTATTAATCAAAGTCTCTACATGGGGATGGAAAACTCGAGGTTGAGAGGACAGAAAATTTACTGT